GGGGCTGGGTAATAACTGCTTTATGACATTCCCCTTGGTCCAATGTATCATCCTACCAATTTTGGTTGAGATTGATCCAAAGACTAGTTCGCGGAAAGACAAGCAAATATATATATATATATATTTACTTTTATAAGTATAGATTTGTTATAACAACTGTTATGATTCAAACGAAATGGATATGCTGACATAATATGGTTTAAATGATATTGTACGCTGTTCTTCTTCTTGAAAACAACAACAAACTTAAGTGACCAAATAAAGAATATAGTGTTAAAAATGTAACGGGCCTAATACTATGTCTTATGGCAACTATATTGAATTATAATAATGCTTCGTCAACTTGGAAAAAGCGTTCACATCATGTTCTGTATGTGTTAACGTTCATAAAATATATTTTATTTCTAACCTTGAATGTAATAAATATACAGTGTTTTAACATGATAAAAGTTGAAAATTTACTAATTATTTTTCAGTCAAAGAGAGAGGCTCTCTTTTATTAGTAATAGTATATTCTGATACACTGCGCATAATATGAAAAAATAAAAAAGAACAAAATTATCCATAAACAATGTGATTATCCGTTCCAACGTTAGTGCTGTTTCAAAATCAATACTCCCCTGATGTGCAACTTGTGTGAAATTTTGTTCAAATGACAAGGAACAAATTTCTGCAATGCATTTTGTGTGTTCAAGAACCAAACAACTGTTTTATTGCATACTGCAAACATGCTATTACAACAAATTACTTACTTTATACAAAATGTTGAAACACGTGCACTAATTTAATCACTTTCATATTACTTAACGAGTGTTTATTTCACGACTGTTCGATCTTATGCTCACATCAAGTAGTTGTGTTTGTTTCACAGCAAAGCCACAATAAGCTATCTGCTGTGTCCACTGCAAGGAAACGAACCTCGGACTTTAGAACTGTAAACATATCGCTGACCCACCGGGAGACACATCAAGTAAGTACAGTTACTGAATAATTTCATGAATAAATAGCTGTAGTGCAAAATAGTTGAATGTCAGATTTTCTGAGGTATAATTTTCGACATGAAGTGCAAAAGTAGTCTACTTTTATAAACTGTAGAAATGTATTGTCAGCAAATAGTTCTTATTTTTCGTATGATGAGGTGAGCACGTGACGTAATGTTTTACGTATTCAGCAAGAAAGAACAACTAAATTTTAGTGCACATACAAAACAGTTTGTCTTGAATATTTTAATTTGCCGCAGTTGTCATTTAGAATTAATTCAAGTTCTAATTTATTTTCTTTTTTTAGTGTGACACTTTTTCCAGATAAATGCGCTCACAAATACCACTTGCAATTTAATGACAATTGAAAAGAAGTTGAATATTTTGCGTCATATATTGTTAATCAATATTAGTCTCTATACATTGTCAAATTAACTTCTGATAAAACTTTAACTTTTTAAAGCAAACTACTTACATAAATCAGAATTAATATTAATACAGTAAATAATGTAACTAATGTAATATACCAGTCTAACTAGAGTATGCAATGTCATACTCTTAGTTAATAAAAACTTATAGAAAAACAGTAGTCAGTGGTGAGTAATTATATTATTAATATTATATAAACAGATTGTCAGTAATACAAATTTAACTAATATTAAAAGATATATCTCAGTTTAAATTACTTCCAGTGTAACATGATGCTTAATGTTAGCGAAATCTAATAACGAATGGTATGATGAAAATCTAAATGTTGGTAATAATTATTATAAAAATACAAAGAGAAAGTATGTTTAAACATAAAGGCAAAGATCTGCATTTCTCCCTTCAAGGTCATACCTTCACATGCGGAAATAACGATGGAACCAAAATGATCTATGATTAAGTAAATTTTATATTAGTATACCATCTAACTAAAAGTTGAAACTAATAACATACAGTCAAGAAAAATACTTCACACTTTTATAACTGTTAATGTTAACAAAGAATAACTGTTGGATAAACTTGATCAGTGACTGCTAGGCTTACAGTTACAGTATAAATATTTATGACATGTTTTTATATCCATCCCCGTAATTTGATCAGGCAAAGATATATTCCAAAAGTACTTGATATAAGTTCCTATCAATTTTAAACAGAAATTAACTTGCATCTGTTTTTGTTTTCTTATATCCCAGAGAAAATAAAATTTTAAAGTAATTATTCATGATTAATATTTTTTAATATGTATCTTTCTTTTGTATCCTTTTCTAAAATAAGAGGACCATGTACTTAGTGCTTTTAATGATCTGAAATAGAGGAAAAGCAATCCTCTGTACTAGAGCTTGGATCCATAATTTCCAGTTCCTGCTATATGATTTAGAGATTGATTGCAAAAGGTGACATTTAGCTCTGATTGGTTGCTTTTAATTGGTTAATTTTCTCTGTGGACCAGAGGTAAACTTGATAGGCTCAATGGCCTTCAGTCATCTTATTGCTTATTTCTTACATTCTTATGTATATATATATATATATCTGTGTTTGTGTGTGTATATTTCATTTGAATTCAATTGAGGAATGACCATAAAATGAAAATTTTTTTGTTAAATTAGGTATGATTAATCTGTAAATGTTATGTCAATTTTTAATATTATGTTATCTTTCAAAATTATTTTAGGTATTTTTAAAATGTTTGATACTTTTCTTTTCATCCAGTTATTTGGAATATATTTATAAAAAAAATATTTTTAGTTCTCACCAAAGACCATTTAACAGTATTTGTATTTATTTGTTTGTTTGTTTTATTCCTTAGGTACAAACGGGTCAGATTTGTTCCTGGTGCCGCACCAAATCTTGTATAGTTCTTACTTTACGTGTGTAGGGTGTCATTGTACTGAATAATCCTTTCCTTTGTGTTCTTAAGTGTTAACTGTCCATAAAGTAAATTAGTGAGCAATGGAGATGTCACATATGAAAACATGGCAAGAAGTTGTAGATCATTTTGGTACTGATCCAGAAAGAGGTCTCTCAGAAGAGCAGTTCCAGAGAAACCTTGATAAATATGGGCCTAATGGTAAGTCATTATTTCATGCTTTTATACATGGTCCGTATGATCACAAAGAATGCACATGCATGTTATAATAATACATGAATAAGCAAGATAAGAGAAAACCAATCAGCTATTCAATAAAACACCTTACTCATGAAAATATCTACTAATTGGAGATAAATGTTGTGTACAGCATTTGAACAAAGATAACATTATAATACTGGCCTCCCAGTGATTCACTGGTTGTCAGAAAACATGTCAAAAATCAGATTTTGATACCCATGGTAAGCAGAACAAAGACCGACTATTGTGCAGCTTGTGCTTTACATAAAACAAACAGTTATAATACTGGCTGTTTTTTTCTTTATGAGGTGTCATATTCTACTTCCGTTTGAGGAAGGGTTTGTACATATGTGATTCACATGAGAACAATGTGATAAGAAATATTTATAATTAGGTAAGCATTATTTAAGTTAGACTGACTGAACTTACTATTTTTCATCATTCATTTTTTGTTTCCAAGTGATATATGAAATATATATATTTGAATGAATTTGCTTTTGAAGAAAATATTCAAAGTCAACAAAAATGAAGAAATGTGAAAATATGTTACTTGTACTTTCAACTATTAAACATACCAATGCTGATTATTAACATAACATACACACAACAAGGCACCAATGTCCTTGCACATTCACTTTAGAGAACATATAATCTAAGTCCACCCTTTATTTCCCAGAAAAGTATTGGTTCTCCTCTTAAACTCCCACTGCTGATTGAAACTTATTCCATCAGTCAGTTACCTTGTTAGAAAATTAAAACTGTTTTATCAGGAGCCTAACCTGTTTTGTTTTTTTTAAACCTTAAAGTGGTGTCTTCTTGCCCTGTGATCTTCAGAATACTGCACAAAGAAATAATAAAGTTTAATAAAGCAGTAAACTATTCAACCTATATAATATCAGGATCATTAATTTTGTTTTGTAGCAAAAACTATTCCCCCCCCCCTTTTTTTTTGCTGCTGTAGATGTTCAACAAGATCACGGAAAAGGGTAATTTTTCTTCATTCCTATTCTCTTTGATAAAAATAAAATTGTTTGATCTGTAAATTGGACATAATATGATGACTTGTGTACTGAAATCTGAATTGAATAAACTGACTATATTGAACAGACTCTTCTTTTGGGTGCTGATGTGCTCTAAGGTGCTTAAACTGGCATCTGTCCTTTAAGATATTCTCTTATCAGTCTCTAGTTTCTGTTATAGACATCCTGGTCACAGGGAAGTACTTGTGAATCACAATACTAATCTTATAGTCTGGTGTATTTCTGTCAGGATTTGGACTAACTTCTGAGAAGATTCTTACACCACTATATATGATTGTGAACTATGGGGGGAAGTAAGTGGATTCATATTTCAGATACAGTGCAGATGTTATTAAAACAGTCATGCTTTTAGATGACATACTTATCATTGTGAACAACTTTAAATGAACCAAAAATAAGCACATATATTTCACATATAGGTGTGTGTCACAACAAATTATCCACAAAACTTAGGCCATAATCCGTACAGGAAAACTGATCTATTATTAACTATTAAAAACAAAAACCAACAATAATGAGTTTCTTTTCAGCAATTGTTCTACTTTTAAAACATATTGAAATTGGGTCACATTTTTTATGTTGAAAATGTTGAAAACCACTGGCTATAGATTTGTCTAGACCAGTTGTGATGTGAGAGTCTTATTGATCATTCTAGAACCCACAAGAAACACACCGCTAGTATATACATGGTTAACAGGCCACATGATGTGCCATTTCTGGATAGTATTTGTTTATGTGTGCACTTTGACATTATTTGTTTCTTTTCTTTTCGATATTATTTATTTGTTGCTATAGCAACAAGAGATTGTGTAAATGACCCAAACATATTGTTATATTTGTGATAAATTTGTTGTAAAGAAACAAAGGCAAAACATTACAGAATGCGTATTACACATATTTTGGAATAAAACTTAGTGACCAAGACAAATCACGGGATCTGCACAAAGTTTGCACCATTTGTGTGGAAGAGTTGAGACAATGGACTAAAGGTAAGAAAAAGTCTTTGCCTTTTGGAATTCCAGTGGTCTGGCTTGAGCCTAGAAACTATGGAGATGACTGCTGCTTTTGCTCATGTAACGTGTAAAGATACAACACTCAAAATAGAAAGGAAATTTCTTATCCAAATCTTCAACCTGCTATCTGATCTCAGTAGAAATGATGATAGGGATTGTTTTCAACCTGAAGCTTCTGGTGAACCACAACTTTTCACACAATGTGAACTTAATGATTTGGACCTTCCAGAGGATTCTTCAGAGATTTTGGGGTGCAGACTTTAGGCTAAAAACTTACTCTCTCCAGAGACATCATTTTACTGGTACAGAAACAGTGAGAAAGAGTTTATACCATATTTTTTGCAAGAAGGTTCACTGGTTTATTGCAACAATATTGCTGAGTTAATACCAATGCAAGGAGCTGCAGTTTATGAACCAAGTGATTGGCGATTGTTCATTGATTCCTCCAAAAGAAGTCTAAACGATGTTCTCCTTCACAATGGTAACATATGTATCTGTTCCTATTGCTCATTCAGTTCACTTGAAGGAAACCTATGAAAATCTAGATCTTCTTCTTAATAATGTCAAATACAAAGGATATGGTTGGCTACTTTGTGGAGACTTAAAAGGCCATTGTATGTTGTTGGGTCAGCAATCTGGTTGTACAAAGTTTTCATGTTTTGTGTGTGTGTGTGTGTGTGTGTGTGTGAATGGGACAGCAGAGCACGAAATCAGCACTGGATAAGGAAGCAATGGCCATGCAGAGTCAGCCTGATACCAGGATCGAAAAAACATTGAATGTGAAACTTTGGTTGACACAAAGAAAGTCTTGTAACCTCCACTTCACATAAAACTTGGCTTGATGAAGCAGTTTGTAAAGGCCTTAGACAAAGATGCCAACTTTTTCAAGTATCTATTTGGGCAATTCTCAGCTATCTTTGAAGCAAGACTTAAAGAAGGGATTTTTGATGAGCCTCAGATTAGGAAATTGACTTCAGATAAACAGTTCAAAAGGACAATGAGGAAAGTTTAAAAAAGTGTGGATTGCCTTTAAAGATGTTACTGACAATTTTTTAGGAAACAACAAGGACACAAATTATGAAAATATTGTCAATAACATGCTCGATAAATTCAAAGAGATGGGTTGCAATATGAGTTTGAAAGTTCATTTCTTACACTCACATATTGACTATTTTCCTGAAAATCTCGATGCCATCAGTGAAGAACAAGGGGAAAGGTTTCATTAAAACATCAGAGAAATGGAAAGGAGGTATCAGGGAAGGTGGAACATCACCATTACTGCTGGTCATTGAAATGGGATGCTCCAGACACAATACTTAAAAGAAAGACTTCAACACGTAATTTTGAGACTAAAAGACATAGATTTCACAAAAAAATTCAGGATGAATGAAGATACATATTCGTTTGACATCAATGTTCTTCCCTTTTCTTCAGTTTGTTTGTAGTTTTGTTAACAAATATAATAATAATAAAGAATGTTCATTATGGTAAACAAAATAATAATTTGAGCTAAATAAGAATTTTTTTCTTCCCAATTTGTAAAAAAGTCCTTACGTGATAGAAGAAAATGAATATTATTTTTGAAATCTGCATAGCTAAATTATTGAAAATTCATTATTAAAACCAAAACAACTTTTATGAAATTTATATTCACACGCTTGTGTTATTTAAGCAAAAACTTCTTTATGCTATAACTTGGATGAATTAGCTTGGTGATGCAGTTTTTATAATGATCATCATATTGCAAAAGTTTTTATGAGAATATTAAATAATTCCAATAGCTAGAATTCAGAATTTAACAAAACCTAAAATTTTACATTATACGAAGAATATATAAATTAACATAAAAGTTGTACAGGTTTTATGAAATGGCTTTGTTTTAAAGATACCAAAAATGAGCAGAAGCTAAAGAATAGGTGTTAAAGCTGCAAAGTTCTTTTTCATCATTATCAGTGTTTCTAGTATGCAGATACTTAAATATATAATGTAAAGCCCAAAATTATTGTGCTGTAGAAATGAAGAATATTTGATTTTTTTACTGTTAATTACTGCAGAAATTACTGAGATAAAACATTTTCATAATCAAATTATTGTACATGAATTATCATTGAACTTCAGTTTCAACTTGCTTTATTTTATATAAAACATAACTGTTATTGGAAAATTTGTTTCTTTATGATAGCTCTTAAGACTTTTCTATATAAATATTGCAATAGTGAGTTTTTGTTGTTTTGCTTTTTAATTATACTGTTGAAACCATTAAATCAGATTATAAAACTACCCCAATTGGTCTTTTAGCCTGCATAGTTCACCCTATTATATTGTACTGTAATGATCCTTGATCAGATGTATAGCCCATAAGGTTTATCTTTTTATTTCATATTATAAGAAAAATCTTCGATTGGTCATTTAACTCAGAATGTCAATCTTTTACACAATTCTATAAAATTTGTTTGATCAGACTTAACCTGTAAAGCTCATCCTTTTATATCACACTATAAAAGTTATCCTTGATAAGTTGTTTCGCTCATTAAGTTAATTTTGTTATATTATAAGAACAATCTTTTTTTTTTATCAGTCATATAGTTTGTGGGAAGTATATCCAGTTGTCCAATGTACCTACCTGTCATAAGAAAGACATTTATAATTAATATAATTAAGTAAAAACCTTTAAACAGCTTGAATACCATTTCATTAAGTATATGTAGAGGAGGTAAAAAAACACAATGATGTGTGATAAAGAAAAAAATATAAATTACTTTAAAATAGAAACAAGTAACAAATGAGTTTTGAAAGACTGATTGTAAAGAAGAACCATGGAAAGTGCCAATTATAAACACTTAAGTACTGTACAGAGTTGTTATTGTACATTTATAGATTCATTTAAGTGTATTGTTAGAAAGCTGGCACATAAATGAGGTAATATTCCGTGAAGCATTAAACTGGTTTCATGTGGAATATCATGGGAATAGCTACATGCAATATGTGATAATAATTTCATGATACTACTGAATTATGAAATTTTCATTTGGGTTTTAGACATTAAGCATACTTTTGGGTTAACAGTGATGTAAGTTCAGTTTTCATTTTTATTCTTTCTGTTATTTAATTTTCATGAGAATTATATTCTATAAAAACTCATCCTTAGCAAAATGACTTGCTGTCTAATGACTAAATTATAAATTATTTTCTGTTAAACATCTTGTTTAGCCCAACTCATATTGAGAGCAAGTCTAACGCAAAGCTTGTCTTGGTTTTGGTATCCACACTCAGCTTGACTAAAGATCAATCATACATGGTGTAACCAGAATGTTAATAAAACCTGGAGTCTTCTATTGTACCTAATAGTTGAATATTTGTGAATCATGAGATAGAAGGCTCTTTTAGTCATATGTTTTGCCTGTGTTTTTCTCTTTCTTATGATATTAAGAGGAGTAGATTGAATTGATTCTTAGGTAGATAGATAAAAATGCAAATCCTTATTTATATAGTTTATGATTTTCAAAGACCAAATAATAGGTTTTCATTTAATGCAGCAAATTTTCCATACTTGTGTATATTTTAATGTTTTTGTGATATACCATTAATTTTCTAACTATGAAAATCAAACAGAGAAAACTGAGTATAATTATCCTTCAAGTGCACCGTACCAAACAATTTCCCATAATTTAAAAGTTTCAGACTTTCTATAAACAAATGAAATAATTTAAAGATATAATCAAGATGTCCAATCTAATAACTGGTATAAAACAGTTCTTCAAGAAAGCTATCCCAAAATAATCACCTAAAAGGAAACTTGCAGGCTTTCAATATACATCAGTTATTAAGGGAACTACCCTCAAAATATTCAACTAAAAGAGAAGATACAAAAGTCCAGACTGCATATATATATATATATATATATATATAACAAAACACCTGTTATTCAGGAAACTATCCTATTATATTCAGCCAAAAGAGAGGGTATGGAACTCCAGGTTTTTAATACATGTACACCAGTTATTCAGAGAAGCTATCTTAAGGTATTCAACTAAAAGATAAAATATGAAACTCCAAGTTTTAAACACACATGCACACTAGTTGTTCAGAGAAAGTAATCCACTCAAAAATTGAATGTTATTGAATTGAAATGCTGGATTCTTCAACATATCATTAAGCTTGATGAAGATTATCAGCATCAAACTGCTTCAAAATATAATAATAAGTTTGTATCGATGTGTGTTGTACATGCAGTATTATAAAACAAAGTACTTGGTGTTTGTCTCATGTACATATGCAAACTTTTAAAAACAGTCTGAACAGAGATTTGCACAACAGTTTAACCTAAAATTTCAGAAAAGTGGGAATTGAATGTTGAATTCAAATCATCATAGTAATTAGTCTTGCAGTATTTTCAGTTTTTTATTCTATGTAAGATAATCTAGCTTTGAGAGTCTGAGTTGAAAACTTGCTTGAAATGTATTTTTTAGTTTGTACTAAAATAATGTTTTGTAGTTTGCAATGTGTATCCAAATTTAATCCATTGGTAAAATTATGAGTATTTGTTAAATAAAACCATGGATGTGCTACTAAATGTTAGGTTGATAAATAGATTTTATCATGTTTTTTTTTACTAAGTAAGGAACATATATTTTCTTACTGGAACAGTTTTTAGTTACAGTAGGAAAGAGTATTTGGATAGTCTTTGTATTTTATATAAAAAAAAAAACAACTGAAGAACTGTAGCATTAATGTTTCTTCTTTTTCTTTATTAATTATTGAAATATGGACAGGAAATAATCATGTATCACTAAAATAGTCTCCAAGAATATTTGTACAATAACATATATCTAATATCACCAGTAATGCCACTTCCTTCATTGGCCCCCATTTATTAACAGTGTTAAGATCTTTCATTGTTCTGTCCAACATTTATTAACAGTGTTAAGATCTTTCATTGTCCAAAATTCATTAACAATGTCAAGATCCTTCATTGTCCAAAATTCATTAACAATGTCAAGATCCTTCATTGTCCAAAATTCATTAATAATGTCAAGATCCTTCATTGTCCAACATTCATTAATAATGTCAAGATCCTTCATTGTCCAACATTCATTAATAATGTCAAGATCCTTCATTGTCCAACATTCATTAATAATGTCAAGATCCTTCATTGTCCAACATTCATTAATAATGTCAAGATCCTTCATTTCCAACATTCATTAACCATGTAAAGATCCTTCCTAGCCTAACATTCGTTAACAATGTAAAGAAATAAATAATGTTTTAATATGAAATGGGGTTGGAACATCAATGGATTGAGTATTAATATGATAGTCATATGAGTCAAATAGTTGTGTGTGTGTTTACATTTCTTTTATATGTACATAGACAATTTAGTAAAATTCTGTTGATTTTAGGTGTTGTGTGTGAAAAGATATTTTGTTTTTGTTTTGTATAAATGCATGCATAATATAGTGTTCAGTTTGTTTTTCAACTGGTTTAGATTTGTTTTAATTCTCTTTTCTATTTCTAATTCCAGAATTACCTGCAGAAGAAGGTAAGAGTCACATTTTCTGGTTTTAGACCTATAGTAAATTAATACTTGTTTCATTTGTTTAAACTGAAGTTGATATTTCGGCATCAATATGCTAAGAGCTTACGATAACAGTGTTTTAAAATAGGTAATGTTTCTGTTGTATGTATATCAAAATTATTGAATTAAGCAATAAATAATTTACTATTACGTATGAGATATGTAAATATCTACATTAATTGATAAATACGAGCTTATCAGGTTCTCATTTATTTTAAAAAATCATTTTTGAATGACATTTTTTTACTGTAGTATTACTGTGAACTTTGTACTAAGAATATATATATGTAGTATCTATTAAAAAGTATACTAAAAATTAAATCAGTATTTGAAATTTAAGATAGTGGAAACAAAAATGCATACACTTTTGTTTTGTAAGAAAGAATTTTAATGCATGATGAATTGATATTAATTTTCTATTTTTTTTATATAGCAAAATTTTGCAGATTATTGCATTGCATAACTGTTTTACAGTTTCTATAACAACTATGAGTTAAAGTATTTTTGTCTTCCAGAATAATGTTCATATCATTTTTTTTATTTGATTTAACAAAAACATATTATCTATGAATAGAGTTTTAATGACATGTTATTATTTTGGAAACCAGTATTGATTGCAACCTTATGTGTCACACAATATTTTTTTATCATGTCTGTACTAGTGAAGGAAACTTAAACACATTTTGATTAGTTAGTAAACTTAGGTTTAATTCACTCTTGATTAAGTTATATTAAAATCTATTTTACAGTGTTGGAAAGTAAGGTTTTTTATCTAATTACTATTGTAAACTGTAAATGAATAAAAAACATTACTTTTCAATAGCTTACAATAGTTTTACATACTTGAGCAAGGAAGCACATTATGCTAGAATAATAATAAGTAGGCAAGCAATGATTTATAAGCACGATGAAGTGATTTATTTATGGTGGAACATACTCATGTTTTGGCAGACCAATTTTCTGTCAAGAGATGTATGTTCCACAAGAAATAAGTCATTTCATTATTCTTAGAAATCTTTTTTTTTAGCCTAATTATTATTAATAGGTTTCCATATTAATTAATAATGATGCATTAAATCTAAGGTCAACAAAAACTTTTATTATCTACCTACTTAAAAGAATATTTCCACATAAACTAATAAAAAAGATGTTCCTTTATTATACAGGGTCTGCTGAAAAAAGTCTAGGGATTTTATATAGTTAGATATTCCAAAGTATTAATGAAAACCATTGTCTGTTTTATTCAAAATGAAGATTAAGGATTCAAATTTTAATGATGAACAGATGGACGATCCAACAGCATTCTCTTATTATTGAGTTTTATTTCAAAAATGAATGCTCCATCATTGCTGCTAAAAGAGCATACCTTTGAGAACTTGGTGTTAATGTTACTCCCTCTGAACATGTCATCAATGGGAAGTGTGGTTTCAACAAGATGGAGCCACCTGATATACAGCATGAGCAACAATGGCAATGTTGCATGAACTGTTCCCAAACAGGGTAATTTCTTGTAATGAAGACATAAGTTTATGGCTTCCAAAATCCCTGGATTTCTCAATGGTAGACTTCCTTTTGTTGGGTTACTTAAAGGATCGAGTGCATACCAACAAGCCACAGACACTGCAAGATTTGAAAGATAACATAAAGACAGAAATTAATGGCCTTACATGTGAAACTTTAACCTCTGCAGTGGAAGGTGTCATCCTTAGAGCACCCTAGTGTGTATCAGTTCATAGTTTACACCTACTGAACATAATTTGAAAGATAACATAAAGACAGAAATTAATGGCCTTACAAGTGAGACTTTAACCTCTGCAATGGAAGGTATCATCTTTAGAGCATGCTAGTGTGTATCAGTTCATAGTTTACACCTACTGAACATAATTTTTTACAATTAATGGTTACAAGAAATCTTATTGAGCTATAGTTTCAATAAATAATGAACACAAATTGTACCAACAGATGTTGTTGTTGATTACTGCAGTTTTAAATCCCTACACTTCTTGTGGAAGACACTGTACTCAATGGATTTACATAATCTTAAGAAAAAATATCCCCAGGAGCTTTTCATTTTTTAAAATTAATATTTAATTCTATATGTAACAAAAAAGTTATGTTAGCTTTCACTTTTTTTGTATTATTTAGGTTAAAATTATCCTTTTCTAGTTTTCTGTTGTTTTGACATAACAAAAATTGGGCATAAATCATTACTAATTTCATATTTTAAAAGATTTCAAGATAAATTCACAGACTAAGGATTTTTTTTTTACAGGTAAACCATTATGGCAGCTTATTTTGGAACAGTTTGATGATCTGTTAGTAAAGATTTTACTTCTAGCTGCAGTGATATCTTTTGTAAGTATCTTTTATTTTCATTTTGACTTAATTTTGATATTAATTTAACCACCAGCACCACATCTGAAAATAAATTGTGATTCTGTTACTGATCTCTGTGAAGTACAGCTAGTTGTATGTACAGCTGAATATATTTAGTTTATTTTAATTATATTATAAGTAATTAATTTTAGTGTGTAAATTTATCAAAAACTAAAACTGAAGACAATAATTGAAAAAAACAAACAATGAGTTTCACACATTTTGATGCAAATTACTTATCTTATAATGGATACTATAGCTGAAAAATCATGTTACCAAATCTCTGTCATGATGACACTGTGTATTCTGTTTTATATTATAAAAAAATGATAATAATTAATATAAGGCAACTGTGAAGTTGTTTAAAATTACTGTTTTTAGCAAGGTAAATGCTTTTTATATTTTTTTTTTTTTTACAAAACTTATCTGTGCCACTAGCTCTATGCCAGAGTCTCATACATATATTTCTAAAATATTTGTTTAATACTTGAATATAAAGTTTTCATACCTACTGGAATAGAGCCCTACAAAGAGTTTTTTAAATTTGTTTAAGAACTTAGTTTTTTTTTTTAAAACTGTCAGTCTTGTGTACATTAAATATTTATTAATCTTGATGTATGTGTTTCACAAACATGTTACACTACTGGTAAAGTGTGTCTAAGGGTTTTGACATCATACAACAGGAAGAGAAGGCTTGTGTGGACGACTGAAAATTGGGAGATAACAGCAGTGAAGGTCGTGGGCATTGTTAACAGTGCATGCATACTTGTGAGCTTTACAAGCAATGCACACAATAGTTAACTTCAGTAGTTTCATCTTGACAGAAGGATGCCAATAATCTTTAGTTGTTTGTCATCAGGGGCATGCACAGGAATTTAAATTTGACTGTTGTTGAGGGGGGATGTTCAACACAAACATATTTCATATATAAAAAAGCCATATCAACACACATACGTAATCATAGAAAAAATAATATTACACTCACCAAAATGACTGAGTCCATATGCCTAGAGTTATTGAAGGGGTTATCTGTTTGCAACCATTTTTGCATGCCCTGCTTAACATTCATTCACAATGAAGATTATTTTCGTTGTCTGTCAAGTCCTCACTGTGGCATACACTAAATTAGTTATAAATGTATTGTAGCAGTCATTGTATATTAAATAAGCAAGTTTATTGGGAATATTTTTGTGAATTTTCTAAGAAACTTCCAAAACAGTTTGTTTGGTATTGTAAAAGGATAAGTTTAGCATTACAATTCAAGAGATCAATGATTATTTGATATTCTGATATTTTAAAATGATTGAGAAATTTTAATATGCTTAATAACACCACCAATTATATAATTTAATGTTACCTTAATATAAACTTGGCATGTGATCTAAGACTTGTGTTGAAAACTGCACTCCTTAACTGGTTTTAACTAAGTAGATATAATGAAGTGACAGTTCAAGGAGATAAATATCATGTTAATTGCACTGGTGAAATATATTTACTTGTATCTTTACAGTTTGTCATATTTCATTACATATGTTTACACTTGCCCAAGCTTTCCTTTTAGATCAAGCATTCAGCTTTATCATGTTATGTTTGTGCAGTAAAAGTATGGTCAGATTCTTCTTATCATGAGTGTTTAAATTATATCATACTTCAGTTTCACTGAAATAATTTCCTTCTTCTCTTTATATTAGTTTATAGATAAGAATTTTTTTTTCATCTCTTGTATCAGTACTCTTGTATTGTTATTATAGTCAAGATGAGATAGAAGGTGATGAAACTGAGAAAGACTGTTTGAGTGCAAGCTTATCTTGAAACTACAGGTGAAGGTCTAACCTGAACAAGTAAAGCAGTTACCACAATGTGCATGTTTTACATACAGCTTTGTATTCTTGCTAAACCATTGAACTTGTGTAATGAACATTATCTTGTGATGTATCTATGTGACTTCCTTTTTTTTTATGTTATAAAAACATAAATCTTGAGAAATTTGCTCTATTTACAGTTCTAAGCCATTACTTTTCAGGTACTATACCAAATATTCATCATGCTACTAAATTTTAAGGATCACTAGAGCACAAAATTCATGTACAGACAGATTTTGGTTTCATGGAGGGGATCAGTCGTTGTGATTAAAAGAGGAGTCATGTTCAAGTTTACCTTGATTCTTGTTATATCAATGTAATAGCAGTTTGTTGCAGTGACAAAAAATATTTTCTCATTAAATAATTAATTACATTTTACTGTAATGTAAATATTAAAGATAACTTGAGTACCAGTTATTTTATAACATAGTGCTAATTACAATTTTAAAAACTACATGATTTTCAGTTTTTGGATCTGATGAGTAATTAAATCTAATGAACTGCTTGTTAATAAAAGGTTGAGAAACTTCACATTAGTGATAAACTGTATGATAAAATTTAAAATAACATTAAGAAACAGATGTGTCAATGGACGGAAACAATAAGAAATACAATATTGTTGATTACTTAGAACAAGTAAAATACAAACGTATATTAACTAAAATAAATTTTTTGGGTTCTTATAATGTTATTCCACTTTTTTTATTAATTTGAAATGCACTTTTGGTCAACTTTATGTTTTTCATTTAGTTTAATTGCCTAATGAGCAATACATGGACTAGTGGTTCACATGTCAAACTGTGAACCTGAGGATCCTTGGTTTATATCCTATTACCACAAAAATTGTGCTCCGTGCTTTGGGGCTGTGGTCACATTTTAAAATAGACAATCAAATCTCACTATTCAGTTAGAGTAGCCCAAGAGTTGGTAGTGGATGCTGTTTGACTATCTGCCTACTTGCTAGTCTATCACTTAAAAATTAGGTATGTCTAACACAGATACTCTGTTTAGCTTTGAGCAAATATCTTGTACAAACAGTACTTTTTGTATGCAGACCAGTATTTTGTTTCCTGAGTGTCAGTTGTTTCTGTCCGCTTGTAAATCTTGTTTTCAGCAGTTTGTATTATTAGAGGTGTCTTACAATGTCTGTTGTTACCAACATTTTGTGTTGTTAAGGGTGTTTTACTCTGTCTTGTTATCAGCAGTTTGTATTATTAGAGGTGTCTTACAATGTCTATTGTTATCAGCATTTTGTGTTGTCAAGGGTGTTTTACTCTGTCTTGTTATCAGCAGTTTGTATTATTAGAGGTGTCTTACAATGTCTGTTGTTACCAGCATTTTGTGTTGTCAAGGGTGTTTTACTCTGTCTTGTTATCAGCAGATTGTATTATTAGAGGTGTCTTACAATGTCTATTGTTACCAATTGTCTGTACGGGAAACAAAACATTAAAATGATAAGATAGTGGAGAAGCAAATCATTCACTGTATCTTGTTTCCACTTTCAACATATATATAACTCACGTTTCTAGTATGTCTTACGTATATTTCTCTGTATTATATAATTAGTTATTCGTCAGTGAGCTCAGAAGTTTGTTGACGCTTTTACGTGTACCTTATTGTAGAATAAAGTACAGACATTTCACATCTTTTGATACAGCGATTAAAAATATGAACAATCTTGCCTATCTTGTCATTTCTGTGGTTTTGTAAGTCTTCCTATCTACGAAGAGCCTTGAAAATTTATATCTCTCACTGAAGTAGTTTTAATCTTATTAAAATAGTTGTCTACTTCGCAAATAAAGTACACCTGCATGATTATGTTAATTTCGACAGCTTGTGTGCTTCCTATCGCACATCAAATGTTGTAGTCCTAACCAAAGGTACCATCGTGTTTAGCATGCTAATTATTGTAATTAATTAAACGATAGTGTTTGAAATCCAAAATAACATTTTAAATGTCGCTGGATTTTGTTTTACAGTTTCGGATTTGTTTTACCTTTAAGGTATCACTGCTAGATGGCGTTTTTAATACGGGAACTCGATTTCACCTAGTCACAAAATCAAACGGGAAAAACAATAACACTTTTTACGTTTTAACCTCCTCTTTTTCTTGTCATCTAGCCACGAAAAACAGAAAAAATGCCCCCTCCCTCCCATTGGCACAACGGTAAGTCTGCGTACTTGTAACGCTAGAAACCGGGTTTCGATACCCATACTGGGCATAGCACAGACAGCCTTATGCTTAACTACAAACCAATAAACCAACAGAAAACATCACACTCTTTATATATTAACATCGTCGTTTTCTTGCAAACGTTTTTGTATAAATAACAATGCGCGTTGTCTTAATTCTGGGGAGAGAAAAGTTCGGGGTTCGATGAAAGCACATTCTGCATTTTTGCTTAATACAAACAACAACGTATTTAATGACTAAATAGTAAAGGGGTCTGCGCATCGCTCAGGAAAACATTTAAAAGGGTGAAAAATTCGCCATTTGCCGAGCGGTACATTCTACATTGGAAATTGTATTTTATTATATATATATTGTTTATTTCCCATTTATTTGATCTTACAACAGTGAATTATTGATTCCTAGTTTAACAAAAATTCTAACAATCTTGCCGATTGGGCCTATTATTGGTGTGATGATTTGAGATTACAGTGTATTCGTCAGTTAGGACCTACACGTAAGCTTACATGTATAATTATTCACCAGGGTCCATACACCTGAATGACACATTCTCTTCAATTCAATCCTTTTTCAATGTCAAAGGCTATTTAGGTTTGATAGGTGAATTCCCACTCCTCCATTTTTTTTTTGAACTTGTTACAAAGAAAGTACAGTATAGCCAAGTTATGTTAAAGTATTTGTCTTAACAAATTAGTCTCCTCAGTGGTAAATCTCTATGTGTATATCTAATTTTCATTAAAAACTATTTGAACAATCCGCGAAAAAAATGTATGTGTAAATGACATGATAAACTTAAGTAGCATGCTGTGTAATTTTATATTATTATATCAGGCCTGATAAATGACATGATAAACTTAAGTAGCATGCTGTGTAATTTTAGTTTATTATTATCAGGCCTGATAAATGATATGATAAACTTAAGTAGCATGCTGTGTAATTTTAGTTTATTATTATCAGGCCTGATAAATGACATGATAAACTTAAGTAGCATGCTGTGTAATTTAGTTTATTATTAATCAGGCCTGATAAATGACATGATAAACTTAAGTAGCATGCTGTGTAATTTTAGTTTATTATTATCAGGCCTGATAAATGGCATGATAAACTTAAGTAGCATGCTGTGTAATTTTAGTTTATTATTATCAGGCCTGAAGTGTGTGTATGGGAAGGTATTTATGTACGTATGTCGGAAATAATTTCTTTGGTATATTTAAACATGGTATATATTTTAAATCATTTTATGTTTCAAGCTCGTTATCAAGGTTATAACCAATATCTCATTACATTATATTGACTAGACTGGCACCAGCTTAAACTGCTCCGTTAAAAAATATAAACTACTCTGAGTCGTAGTTACTGGTATACAATACTGTGTTGATTTCCTCTGAAACTTCCGGCCTTCCTTTCCGCTAAGTCCAAGTTGTTTTACAGCTGGAATCCGGGAAAAGAGCGATTAAGACTTACTGGTATGCATATTACACAACTCAGCCTATAAATAAAACAGGAAAACATTCATACATAAAAAAAAAGAATATTATAAAAAAAATTTGGTAGAATAGTGATATACGGGCTTGATGTGTGGTTTATTACCACAGGCCCTATACAACGCCTTATATACCATTCCGTATATAAATCTATTTAATACTGACATAACTCACATTTTCGAAGAGACTTGTACATTGAGCGTTTAGCTAGATATTATTACAAGTTTGTAACACACTCGATGTTCTGGTATTCTGAGACGTCGATGTCAACGGTTTATTAAAACACACGCGTTGTACTGGAGAAGTTGGAAGATCAAACTTTTTTCATTTACTGTGTATTGAGCATGTCTGTTAAAAACATGTTATATTTCTCGTAATAGAGTGAACTATCTATAGACCCATTTTCACGAGCCTAATTTAAAATGTTCATACGGACTTCACATTCTTTGAAGATCTACAAACGGAATCATTTCTGGAAGTCGAGTCTTTTACAATCGATCATCATGATTTTTGTTTTGTAGTCTGCCATCTTCACTGTGTGATCTTTGTATACGTAAACACTCATCAAGAGATACAGGAATTTTTTTTTATCAAAGTTGTCGTCTCGTATGACCGATTTCAGGTGGGAATTACAAACAAGTACAAGTAACTACAAGGTGTGTTTTACTTTCATGTCCTCACGAAGTCTC